TGTTACGAATATTCCGCTTTTTCGCTGAATTATATTTATTCTTTCAACTGACACAGTACTTCGCTTTGAACTTGAGTCTTGATCAATTAGTGTACATGCAGCTGTCACATGTCAACTTGCCGCATTTTTTTTTATATAATTTTGACATTATCGAAACCGATAACTAGCATGGAATTGTTCGCCGCTCCAATACGACCAACTGACACGAGGGATCGATAGTCTAGTGCAGTAACGTAATCGACGGTTTCAAGAACATTTGTAAATATTGAGGTCTTACATTTTACCATAATAATCGTGTCCTTTAAGAGGTATTTAACACAAGTGCAAATCCTGGAAAATTTTTATGCAGTTTAGAGGTTCAAAATTTTGAAAACTTTTTAATTTTAATTGTGTTCCGTTAAAGATGTTCAAATTTTTATAAATTTATAGTGCACGTTACTTATACAACTTATACTATGAAATTATAAATCTTATGTAATATAGTTAATATTCTAATAGAAAACAGTTGATTATTTTACTCTTCTGTATTGAACATTAAATTGCCTTATCTATGTATCTATGAATCTTAAGTAATAAAATGTTATTCCTTCAAATAATTCAGTGTTCTCATCAAATAGTATTATAATAATAAATAACTTTGTTTCGATGCCTTCTTCTTCATAATTAAAAATGATATAATCCATTTGATACGAAATATAATATGTTTTTCTATATAAAGTAAATTAATTCCATAGATTTAATAATTATCTTAGCGAGTTTAATTTTTGACCGATACTTGAAGAAATGATAAGATCTGGCGAGATACAAATCTTATTTTCACATGCTTCTGAGTCAAAATAGAATTATAACAAATTTAATATATTTTGATAGGACAGGAATATTATGGCTGCCCCCTTCCCCCTTCCCTCGTTTTTTCTCCTTGCCCCTTATTGATAACATTGAAGAGGTCTTTGCCACTGCCTTGCTACAAGTCTGTTAGCCGCGTGTTATATCACGTGAACTAAAGAAAGAAACATATAACCTGTGTAACTTTAGACTTAACGAGACTTTTGTGCCATGATCCAAAGCTAACCGAGTCATCCTAGTTATCTCCCTTACAAAAGGGATGTTCATGAATAAAAACGGGCCAGATTGTAATTGTCAGATACCTAACTCAGATTTACATTGCCAGGGGCTATTACTATTTGTCATTTGTTTTGTTTTTCCTGTAACGACCAAATATTCAAAGTATGAGAATTAAATCTTAAATTTATTATCTATGTAACACAAACACAAACCGCATCGTTCGTAATGTACAGGGTCAACTAAAATATTAAGTGTAAAATGTCAAACCTAATGCTAATTTTTATTTTTAACGTCCGTTGGTATCTCTACAAATTCTTGGAAATGAGACCTCGGAATAAACTTCAAACGTACCGACTGAAATGAGCTATCAGACAAAACTTGATACCAATCCTTTTCGATTGTTATCGGATATTCATATTCATGACTTTCTCTTCTTTCAACTAAATTCCAGGAAACCCCCACTTCATATAAACATTCAGATTTGGTATTGTATTAATATACAGTTAATAAAAATGATTATATTGGAGTAATGTAGTACATCAACCTGAATGTATATATATGTACGTATATTTGTAAATGTTTTTTGATAAAAAAGAAATACAAGTTTATGAATATTAAGTATTCATATGCAATTTTCTTTTTTCGTTTTACTCTAACTGTTCTGAAACTTCTGAACTCACTTTTCAATTCAGTAAACTATAAGTTTTCTAATCCTTGAAACTTTGAACTCAAATGTAAATAGTGGTCACGTTATCTTTACTTTTTCTTACGTAAATTGATTTTGCATGCATTTTTATAAGAAGTCGGTGGCCAGCGTCAGAAATTTTGCATTAAATATAAAATTTAAAATGTAAATTACCATTAATTTTTCATTTATATGATAAAAATTGATAGAAGATTATCGGTAAAAAGAAGCAGTCTAAATAATTGATTTTAATGAATTATCATTAATTATAGAATATTTTCATTATAAAATTAATTTTTCTTTATTAAAATAAATTATCTTATCCTTATTAAAATATTAATCATTATTTTTATAGTTAATCATTTCACATTCGTAAGTATTCATTTATTCATGCTGATATTTTTCCTTTCCTTTTTTGCTTTTCATTTGCTTCTTTCAACTTCTGGAACTCTAGCTCGAGCGCACGTTGCTTTTTACGATTTATTGGTGTTTTTGCAAGCCATGCTATAATCAAACACAATATTAATAAAAAATTATATCACTTATAAAAGTATGTACAGACCTAAGAACATATCTTCTTCTTCGCAAAAAACCGGATCTTTCGAACTTAACGCATTTATTAATTCTCCATGTGTCAAAGGATGTGTTCTTAATTGTACTATTCGTTTTGTGGTCATTACCTATTTTATAATATATGTATGTTATTAATGAAACAAAAAAATTATAAAAAAATGTATACGTAATAATTGAAATACAATGATAATTCATCCGCCAATACCTCGTTAATTGATGTTAATACAGTACCAACAGTAAAACCATCGCATATTTTAGCCATGACGGACGTATCGAATTGTCTATTAATTCCAGAATACTATGAATAAATATATATGTATATTATATATTATTATTATATGTATAAATAAATACATATAATACCATAAATAAGTATTATATAAATTAAAAAAATTAATGTATAATATAATTTATAAATTGAAAAAGTCATACTTTGTATAATAAGTCTTTCCATATCAAAGACATAGTCCCATAATCTGGTCTGGGAATATATATAACTTTATCATAAGTTTGATATAAAAGTTTTTGATCTCCATCCCATGGTGAATTTGAAGTTCCAATTAAAATCACTCTATCCTCATTTGTGATACTTTTTATTAATTTAGGAAGATCTTTTTTTAAACGTTTTGGATCAGTTTTATCTGTCTTTGAGACTTTCTTTACAAATGGTTTTTCTGCTCCTTCCATAAATATCACTGATGGTTGGAGTAAACGTGATACCTTAATATATAAAAATAAAAAGTGAATACATTTTTCTAATTCATTTAATTGTTTCTTTTCTTGAAATACCTTTGATATTAAATGCATAAGCATAATTAAACCTGATTTGCCAGGATATTTCCCAGTAATGTTAGCTGGCGTGATATCAAATAATGTGGCACCAAGTTCTGTGCAAATTGCATTTACTAACATCTTTTTACCACTGCCATGTGGACCAGCAATTAAAACTGATCTTATCAGTGGTGTAAGTTCTCTGAGAGTATTATTTCCCAAAGGAAGTATACAATATTCAGCTATTAATTGTCTTATATCACCTATTGAATATAATGATAAATATCATAAGAAAATTACTTAAGTATTAGAATACTTAAAAGATTAAACTGAAAATGAGAAATATAAAATATGATAAATCTGAATTAGTATATAAAACACTTAACCAAGCATTGGCAAAGGGTCTTTCTCCTTTTCTCTTAAATTATGATTTGTAAAAGATTTTTCTCCTTTAAAATCACTAAGTCGAATTTCCCTATGGAGCTTAATAATTCCTTGAGTTAGAAGTTCTTCAAACAAAGATTCTGTTGTTCTATCAGGTGTCAAATCCTTTTCTTTTCTTTTCTTATTCTTTTTTCCACTTCTGCGAATTCTTTTTTGACTTTTTTTAGCACGTTTACCCTTAAAACCTCTATCTCTATCTAATGCATTTTGCAATGCTTCTATATCATCTTTAAATATGACACAAAATTGTAACACCATTAATATTTTTATGTTCTAATTATTTTTAATTTTAACATTTACCCCTAAGTGCTTGGTCAACTGTAACTCGAACTTCATTCTCTACTTCCTTCGTTGTTTCATTCTCTATCATGTCCAAATATGGTAATTGTGCCATATTCATAGTTTCATCTTTATTCTTCCATATTTCTTGATACTCTTGATTAGCATGAACCAACTTTGAGAGAAAATTGGAAGGAATTGGTTTGAAACCTTGTTCAGTTTCTTCTTCTGATTGATCAGCCTCACTGTCCTTCTTTGATTTTGATCTTTTAGATTTTTTGGATTCCTTTGATGATACTGCTGTTGATTTACTAATAGTACTTTCAGTTCCCTAAAAAAAATATAGTTACCTTATTCCCGAATACTTTACATAATACTAATGCAAATACTAATTTTACCTGTCTGCTAAATATGATTCTGGATCCACCACTCTCAGCAGATGGCAAGTCAGGAATTTTTCCTGTCTGCTGAAAATAAGTGTTAATCCAATTTCGAACTTCACTTCTTATATTTTCCTCTATTATACCGCTCTTTTCTTTACGAATTCTTTCTTTCGCTTCAACCATTAAATTTTCGTATAATTCTAGATATTTAATTTGTTTTTCATACCTTTCCTCTCTTATTCTTTCAGCCTGTCTAGCATTTTCAGTAATTTGTTTACTCTGTTGAAGCATACCTTTGAAAATAAAGGAAGTATATATATATATATATATATCTATTCTTTTTTAATACACAATTACTTTATTATTTTAATAAAAACTACCGATTAATAACATTTCTTCGAAACGTCTTTTCCGAATTTTGCATCTAGTAACATATCCTTTCCAAACTTTTTGAATTTTTATTACAGCCGCTTTTTCACTCGATTCGTTTTTCACCTCTGCTTCTGCTTTAATTGCAGATTTATCTTTTACGTGACAAATTTCTCGCATAAATTGAAATCGTAATCGACCTTGTCTAGCGCGTTCGTGGGCCTAACATTCGCATTCATAATAAATGTACAATTAATATAAGTAATAACTTTAAATTTATAATTTTACCTAAAATGTTTGTACCTGTATGAGCCTCACAGCTTCGGATTCAGTCATTTTCTTTGGTACTATTACTTCATCTAAAGCACCTATATTTTTTAAGATCTCTGCTATGTACTTGCGCCTTTCTTCAATTTCTTGTAAACATTCGCGTCTAAAATATCTGGGTACTTGAATTTCAACTTCTTGCGGTGTGATGTTGAATTTTATTAGAATATTATCGAAATAATTGTACTCTGAAAGATCTATCTCGACTAATTCATGTTTTAATTCTAAAATTCTACCAAAACACGAGACTAACAATTGTTTTAATAATATCCGTTTTTGCGGTTGAATTACTTGATCATAACATATTTCTAATTTATTACAGATAATAATATATCTTACATATAACTCAGAAATCGTATTGTGAGCTTTTTTACGATCTTTTTGCGGTTTGACGTTTTGCAAGTTTGTATCTATTTGAAGAAGTTCTTCTAAAGCAGTTTGCGCGTTTTCCCAAAGTTCATTGTACGTTGCACTTGACATAATCAAAATGTTTAATCTTTTATCTGTCTAAAGATAAAATTACTAAGAAGTAAATTGGGCGACAATATTAGAAAATACTGTGCTTCATTCGCTTTTTAGGATTGTTGTAATAATCGTTAATATCCTAGCAACCACTAATTCAGGTAATAATACGTCAAGTTCTTTTGGAAACTTTTATTTTAAAATAGTTACATGTTTAAATATAAAAAATTTTTTTTACCTATATATTTAGCTTTAAGAATGTTAATATAATACAATTCTTAAAGCAATAAAGAGAAAATTTTAATGTATACAATGCATAATATTGAACAGATGTACGGTCTACAACAATTCTCATAAAAAATATAAAACAGGATAATTTTGTTAGACGTACATAGAAAGATACATTTATTTGAAGATAATTTAATTTAAATTGTGTGTTGGCCGAAACATAAAAGAGGGAGTTCGGTGCAACCGGCTATTCTCGTAACATGCTTCAGAGCATTTCAGTTGCCTGTTTCAAAACGTCATCTTAGGTGATCGTTTGTTCACGAAAATAATTTCTGTAAATACGGTTCACCACCGACTAAAGGTGGTGATGAAAAGAAAGCATTTGCAGTAATGGCGTCGGCATTGGAGCAATTTGTAAATAACGTGCGGACGTTCTCGAAACAAGGTACGACAGATGTTCGGACCTTCCTTATATTCTCATAAACCTAACCTATAAGAATAATCCTAAGGGATTATTAAAACATTTTGTATTTCTCTGAAATGCTATTTTTTTCGAAGAAATAAAATTTGAATTCATAATATTTTGTTATTTTAGTGTTAAATAACTCCTTTATGCAATTTTATACATCATATAAAAATTCTATTTCTATATTAAGCATATCTATGATCAAGTTGTAAATACGTATATTAACATTTTTCTTTATAGTACTATATAAATTTTATTATTAAAAATTTCATGATTAAATATATAGCAAACATAAATATATTTTTTAAATCTATGTTCTATTGTAAATAAATTATGATAATTTTTGTAATAATTATTAAATGATATTATTCAATTGTCTCATGTTTCATAGGTAATTTTAGAGAACTGTCTGAGATAATAACTAAAAGTACAGATGTTTTAATAAAAAATGGACAACATTTAGATAATGTTTTGGAAACATTAAATCTGCAAGAGCACTCATTAGGAATTTTGGCAGTATTGTGTGTGAAATTTTCATTGTCTAATCCTAATGGTGCAAACAATGCTGATGCTTATAAACCACTATTTAATCAGGTTCAAGAATTTATCATTGGTTGTAATGGAGAACAAGTTAGATTTGCTTCTGATATATGTAAGTTTATGTGTTTCCCTTTTGCTCTTAAAACTAGAATAAATATATTTTTATTTTGTCTATATTATTTACATTATAGATGCAGAATTATGTCACATATTTACTCAAACACTGGTTGAACTACAAATACCATTGCGTGGTATTGAATTATTGTGCCGTGCAATACGTAAAATACAATTATTTGATAGCCAACTTACATCAATACATGCTGATCTTTGTCAACTATGTCTTCTTTCTAAATGTTTCAAGCCAGCACTTGAATTTCTGGATATAGATGTTACTGGTATCAGCCAAGAAGAAGGACAATTTGATTCGAAATACTTTTTACTTTATTATTATTATGGTGGTATGATATACACAGCACTAAAGAATTATGATAGAGCATTATACTTTTTTGAAGTGTGCGTAACAACACCTGCCATGGTAGTTAGTTACATTATGTTAGAAGCCTACAAGAAGTTTATTCTGGTCTCTTTAATTTGGAATGGGGCAGTCTTAAGCCTACCTAGGTACACAAGTCAAGTGGTGTATAGGTACATGAAGCCACTGGGTCAGCATTATCAAGAATTGGCTATTGCTTACGAGAGGAATAGTTGTGAGGAGGTACAGAAAATTATCACCAAATATCAACCTCTGTTCACAAGAGACCACAATATGGGGCTGGTGAAACAAGTGCTCAGCTATTTATACAAGAAAAACATACAAAGGTTGACAAAAACTTTTTTGACTCTTAGCTTAAGTGATGTGGCTAGTAGGGTTCGTTTGTCTGGACCTGCTGATGCAGAAAAATACATATTAAACATGGTAACTGCACTTATTTGTATATTCTATAGCGTGTATATAGATATTATATAAAGGTATTTTACGTTTCTAATCTTAGATAGAGGATGGTGAAATTTTTGCAACAATCAATCAAAAAGATGGTATGGTAGTGTTTCATGATGATCCAGAGAAATACAATTCACCACAGATGTTGGCAAAATTAGAAAAGGAAATGGCAGCATGCATGGAATTGGATAAACGAGTTCTTGAAATGGAGGAAGAAGTTGTTCTCACACCACAGTATGTTCGAAAAGTTTGTGGACAAAATGATCAAGATGATCAGACAGCTCCAACAAATGTAACAAATGTGCAAGGTCAATCTAAACATAGCACCTATTCCATGTAACATATACACGTCGTTGTGCGTTATCTTTATTAAAAAAGAGAAAAAAGAATGAAGCGAATCTTGTTAAAAGCGTGGTCTTAAACACTTAGAAGCCTGTTTTGGATGAAAATGGAAGTCCGAAATTTGGCTGAACATAATCTATTTTGTACAAAATAAAAAAAAACATTGCTATCTATCATTATGTGGAATTATAACTGCTATTGAGATAGTAAAAGCAAAAAAGATATGGAAAATTTTAAAAAATGTCCTTTTTATAGTAAATTATACATATACCCTTTCTGGATCTTTCGGAAACTGAAGGCTGACTGATAAGTTGTAAGTTATAAAGTATATCTGTGAGGGAGTTACCAATTCAAATATGCTTTATTTTCTAAATCTTATAGAATTAATTTTTTAATACAAATAATTTAAAAACATACTATACATATAGAACAAAATTAAAAATTATTTCCTTTGTAATTACTGAACATCTGAAACAGGCTTTAATATACAATGCAAAAAAAGAAGAATTGTACATGCTGTAGTTAGAATATTGTGGTACATAACTGCAAAATTATCACATTTTTAACATGAATTACATTTGATTCATATATGGGCATTTTCGTGGGAATTCATAAAAATTCATCAATACTGATAATGCAATAATGACATATGTACATATATTTCTCACAAAAGAAAAGTGAAGAAATACAAGTTTACTTATCATTTATGAAAGAAAAAGCTCAATGCATAATTGTGCCAGGTAAGTACACTATGCTTTCCAGCTCAATAAAAACCAATTATCCATTTATATAAAAAATTATTGTATACGATTAATGTATTATTGCAATTTTATTTTTAACTTAACAAAAGAAAACAAAAATACTCAAGATAAATCGTTTAAATTACAATGAAAAATATTTCGAAATTTTAATTATACTTTGTACTAAACATTTTGGAATATGTAACAAATGCTTCTGTTTGTAACTAATGTTTATAACATCACCATGTCTTTGTTAATTGATAGCTAAATACCCAGAACCAGTTTATGGTGTATATTTATTTTTTTAGTTTTAAGTGTTTCTTTTTTTATATGTAATGATTAAGATTTTATGATAATAATTTTTTTATTTCCGCAAAAATTATTTCAAATATTTCTTCTTTACTTTTTGATCCATCAATGAATGTTATTGTTTCATATAAATCTTTGTCTTTCATTAATTCGTCTTTATGTTTTAAATATTCCGGCCATACAGCTTTTTCGAAATATCCAGGCACATCAGGTGGATCGTACGTTCTATTTTTCCTTCTTTCCCAACTTTGTTCTTTGGTTAACGTTATGAAATATTTACGATCACATAAATTTGAAATAGTTTTACATTTAAAAAGCAAAAACCCGTCTAATATTAATATATTTTTATTAATTGTTTTGGAAAAATTATTTTCATTTGGCGAAGATTCAATTAAACTTAAAACATCTAAACGCATTTTATCCATATCCATGCTAGTTATTAGTTCCCAATTAAAATGATTAAGTTCTTCTATTTTTGTATGTCGTGGATCATCTTTTGGTAAAAAATAGTTATCTTGATGTATCACGATCGAATTTTTCAGTTCTTTATGAAGTCGGTTAGTTAGATAAGTTTTCCCACTACATGTTACACCCGAAATACCAATTACTAACCATTTCCCTTTAGTCATTTTAATTTTTTTAAATTATATTATATTATAGTTCATAAATTAATAGTACACTCCATAGCATTCGGGAATTTGCACTTAAAAAAAAATGCAAGTCTAATTAGTTGGAACCATCGACTGCTGTCTTACTCTTCCTTAAAGTGATTGGGTCACAGGTAGTTTCTCTAATGGCAAAAAGAATCAAATTTGTTATTTGCTAATTCAATGCATGATAAAGAGAGAAAGATAATAGGACGTATTAAAACCGAATGAGATAGAATGATATTGAGTGATCAACTTCTATATACTGGTGTAGATGTTAGAGAATTAATTACTACTGATGAAAATTATTTAATAGTTATTAACATAATAATTCATTTAATTAATACATCACAAAAATTTACTTTAATTAACTTGAACAATTTTTCATTAATAAAGCTAATTTGATTAAAATCATATTTAATTTCATCTTTATCACAATATGTGATATTTGTAACTCATATAATTTCCATACCTTTTTATTTTAGTACTTTTCACAAATATTATCACAAATATCTCACTCTATTGATTTCGAAAATGTTAATGGTGGAAGTAGGCGATGTAATTGAATTATTCTCCTTGCCTCTATATCGTTCTAGGTACGCAGTCTTGAACTCAATGTAGTGTACAGAGATGCAACTCACCTGTAATACAGACAGATGAAAAGATGCCTAGAAGAAAGGTACAAGAGCAAAAGACAAATTCTATTTTTTCGTGTTGACTCTTCCTCTGATATTTCCAAAATTTCTACTTCTAGGTTTTTCGTGACAAATATTGATATAATGCTAAAATAAATTACGTTGACATGACTTTTATTCTACATTAATATCGATTCTGTGTCTACACCAATGCTTTATATTACTCTATCTTACTCGGTCTTATCGTACTATGGATGATATAAGCTAGTTACATAACTTCGCTATTCAATCAATAATAAAACACACATGAACAAAAGTTATTTGGTAACATGCTATTCAATTTTTTTATTTACATTTATTTTTTATACAAAAATGTTACGATTCATGAAATTTATTTGATTTATCATTTGAAAAATATGGTTTAACATGATAAATAGTGAACAATACTAGTCCACCGATAAAACATAAACCCGAAATTGCAGGTACTATTAATGCCACATTGTTAGAACCAAAAAACGATCGTATTCTCTTATCATCAATAAATGGTAGACCAATGATCCATATAGTGTAATAGAGGAATAAAATGGAAGTTAAAATTAATATAACTTTACCCTTTTTCCGATCGCTACTAAACATTTGACGTCTAATCATTTATAATAAATTTAACATTTATATAAAGATATAAAAAATGATGCTATTTTGTAAATTATGACCAACCAAATGTTTCATATATTTGTTACTACTGTAATATTATGTATAATATGTAAAGTTCAATAACGTAATCTTATATCTATTTTATAAATCTTCATTTAGAATAATTTAAAACATATTAAAATATTGTTACAGACTACTGATCCACATATTCCTTTTCAAATTTCTTGAAATCTTCATCGCTAAATACAGTGGTTTCAGGTTTTTTAAGTTTCTTTGCTTCTGGAATATACCTCTTCTTTACAGCTCTATTCAATAACTATTATAAAATTTTTTAATTAATAAAATTTATTTTATAAATAATTAAAAATTGTTAAATATACTGAGTACCTTATTTGTTGTATCAGGATCAATACAATTGTTACTAAGCATTAAAAGTCTTTGTACATTTTCATCTGTAGGATCTTCTTGTACGGCTAATTTCTTTTGAGTTTCATAAACTGTTACTTTACTTGATCGTCCAAGGATTGTACCGAGATCTTTAAGAATATTTATATTTTATTAGTTCATAAATAATCGATTCATAACCTTGTATTTTGAAGATCACAAGTACCTGTTTTATCATTTTTAGATAATATTCTGTGCTTTGGTGGAATTAGGTCCAGTGTACCTTTATATTTTGTGTGTTTCTTTTTTCTTTTTTCTGTACCATAAAAATTTTGTGTAACATAAAATATAAATTTATAACCTGTACAAATTAAAATGTATACCTTGTTTTACATTTTTTTCATAACCCAATAATTCAAGTCCTTTTCGTACAAGCAAATTTGACATTTTTATAAAATTTTAATTCAAATATGTTTTATATATCATGTAAAAATCCCAAGTCTGAAATTTTATGATACGATGTATTTGATTCTGACGAATAATAATAATGCTATCTACTTACATCCATATATAGAAAATACAATTATAATAAACATGCTTAAGAAATATTTATAAAATTTAGTATTCTTTATTATTTTCTTTATTTTATTATTTTATATTCTTTATATTTTATAGTTTTAATTTTAATATTTCATAAATATTTTCTTAACAATCTTTTGAAATATAGAATATAATTTTAAATATTACGAACAAACGCAAAATGCATTTATATTTTATTTCATATCGTTAGATGAGTAATATAAGTAAAATACTTATAACAATGATTTTTAAATTGAAATATATAATGGTAACTAATTTTTGTATTTATTTACTATAAAAGGATGTAATTTATGAATGAGAGATCTTTTTCTAATAAAAGATTGTAAAATTTATATTATGTAGTTCTTTAAAGGATATTTAATGGAAATTATATAAAAATTATTGATTCAGAAATAATAAATTAATTTTTTATAATTTGAAACAATGTAAAGTGTTTATTGTAAATATTTAGATCCTAACCAATAAGAACAATAACTATAATATTGTTTAAATATAGTCTGAGTTAGTTGTCAAATTCATTCGAATGGCAACTGCAGTGGTTCACTAAGCTTAAAAAAATTGATCGTCTAACTTACCGATTTCTAAAGAAATAAATAACAAAATTTCATTTTTAAAACGTCAAAATGCATGACGCTTACGAAGAAACATCAATATTAAATATTTCTGTTCAAATAGAATCTATGGCTGCATATGGTAGGATTCGTATAACCTTCGAACTAAAGTTTTTTTTTCTCCTAAATATATAATTTTATGTAAAGAATTATTATTCTTTATGTTTAAAATAATTTGTTGTTGTACATTTAAAAAATGTATTTTAATTTATTTACTTTTGCTATTTATTTCTAATATTGTTTTATATAAATATGCAAGTGTAGTGAATAATAGTAAAGTGTTTCAGATGATTATTTACTGATTGGAACAAGAGAGGGTCATCTTCTTATGTATCATGTACCTCCTGTATTAGATGATAATCACAAATTAGAATTATTTCGTTGCAGTAAAAACTTCAATAAAAAGCGAATTACTCAGATAGATGTTGTACCAGAATATAATTTGCTCATAATTCTAATAGGTTAATCATAGTTTTAATATTTATCTTGACTTTTATAATTAGAAATATATACATTTAACTTTTTATATTTATTTCTTTATAGATAATATGGTATGTGTCCATGATTTAATTTCTCTAAATTTCCAACAAATTTATCAGTTACAAAAGACTCGTGGTGCTACATTATTTACTTTAGATATAAAATCAACCCAAACTGTAAATGATGAAAAAAGTACACTTGTACATTTATGTGTTGCTGTGAAACGTAAACTGCAATTATATGAGTGGAAAGATAAAAAATTTGAAGCACTTAATGAATTTACTGTACCATATATACCACGTGAATTATCATGGTATGTATTATGTGGCATATAGAAGAACTTACTCATTTTTATACAGTGATAAAATATTTTAATTTTATTAAAGGTGTGGTGAAACATTAGTTTTGGGTTTTCGTGGCTTGTCATATGCAATTTTGTACCCAAATGGGAACATCAAAGAATTGTTTCCAACTGGAAAATGCCCAGAACCAAGTGTTACAAGATTATCTGATAACTCCTTTGTATTAGGAAAAGATTCTCAATCATTTATTATGGATACTAAGGGAGAATTGATTCAGCATACCTCAATAAAGTGGTCTGATACTCCAAGTGCAATAGGTATAAAATATGCATAATTACTTAGCATTTATAATTGAAAGTATTTATGCAATTCATTCTCTAATTATATTGGTGTCATAGAAATTGAATTATTTCAGTTTGGGATGATCCTTATTTACTTGGTATTGTACATGACAGATTGGAAGTATATACCATAGAGGGTTGTTTACACATTCAAACAATAAAAGATTTAAATAAAGCTAGGCTTATATATAGATGTAAACAGGGGAAAGTTTTTGTAGCATCTATTAGTCATGTTTGGTGTGTAAAAGCAGTTGATGTGGCACACCAAATTAGAACATTGCTTGAACAAACCCAGTTTCAGCTGGCATTGAAATTAACTGTATGTTGATAATATTGTGATGTGCTTATTTCATTTCAGTTTAGTGAAACTTTTAAGTAAAATGTTTCAATATTTTAGAGTTTATCAAATATATCAGAAGAAGAAAAGACAAAACAAATATACAAAATTCAAACACTCTATGCTCATCATCTGTTTCATACTAAACAATTTCAAGAAGCAATGGATCAGTTCTTAAAGATAGGAACAGATCCGTATGAAGTGATTATGTTGTTTCCCGATTTAGTTACTTCATCTAGTAATAATTCTGAAGTCAGTGATCCAACTTTGCCCAAGCTTGAAGGTCACAATTTAGAAATGGGTCTCCGTGCATTAATAGTCTTTCTTACTGAAGTTAGATTGAAATTAACGGGTGAGGATAAAGCTAAGGATAAGGATAAGGATAAGGATAAGGATAAGGATAAGGATAAGGATAAGGATAAGGATAAGGATAAAGATAAGGATAAGGATAATATAAAAGAAAAATCTTTGATAGAAGGAAAAAGAAACATGACAGCAGTAGCTACAGAACAGCTTTTAAAAATTATAGACACAACTCTATTAAAATGTTACTTACAGGTAATTTAAAATATATTACCATTTGTGATAGATGTACAAGTTTTATTAATACAATTTTTTTTCCAGACCACTGATGCATTAGTAGCACAATTACTTAGGTTAAATCATTGTCATTTAGCAGAAGCTGAAAAGACTTTATTAAAGCATCAAAAATATCCTGAACTTATAATATTATATCAAACTAAGGGACATCATAGAAAAGCATTGGAACTTCTCGAAAAGCATGCAAAAGAAAATGATTCTAGTCTAAAGGGAACTGCAGGAACAATACAATATTTGCAGCACCTTGGTAAAGATCATATAGATTTAATTCTAAAGTTTGCTGGTTGGGTCTTGAACGATGATCCAGAACAAGGACTTCGAATTTTTATGGAAGATATAAAGGTAATGTATATCATACAATATTTTGTGATCATCTTGTAATCTATATTTGCAATTCTAGGAAGTTGAACAATTACCAAGACCCAAGGTATTAGACTATCTCCTCCGTTGTCATAAAGATTTAGTTATTACATATTTGGAACATGTAGTACATGTTTGGGAAGACACTAATCCCTCATTTCATAATGTTTTAATACATCAATACAAAGAGAAATGTTTGGCATGTATGAGTAAAAGTGCTACACCAGCAGAAAAGGAGACAGGTCAACATATTAGACAAAAATTGCAACAGTTTTTGGAAAAATCTGCACACTACACCCCTGAAACTATATTAGTGCATTTTCCATTTGATAGTTTATTCGAGGAACGTGCAATTATTCTTGAACGACTTGGACGTCATCAACAAGTTATATCGATATACATTAGTCTCCTTAATGATATACCAAAAGCGATTGAGTATTGCTATAACGTGTATACTAGGTATAAGAGTAGGTATTAATATTAAATATACATCATAGGTATTAATACAAATATCAAATACTTACAAATATATGCAACTATTTCTCTATTTTTGGGTCAAGAAAATGTAGATAAACAAAAACAATTCGATGGAGATGATGAAGTGTATGCGTTACTTATTCAACAGCTGTTGAAACCCGATAACGAAGGCGTTTTGACAGGTAAAATTTCAATACGCGTAATGTGTTTATTTTAGAATAACGAATAGTATGTTTATATATGTTTCTTTAGGGTGTAACCCAGAAATTCAAAAAACAGCACAACCTGATTTAGAAATGGCGCTTCAATTGCTCGAGGAACACGCGTCGAAGATAAATCCATTAAAGGCATTAGAAGTATTACCCAATACAGTTCCTATTGGTAGAATAAAACATTTTTTGGAAGTTAGTTTACAGGAAACATTAAATGCCAGGCGAAGGGTACAAGTTTTAAAAAGTTTACTTTACGCTGAACACTTACAAGTACAAGAGCAACGTATCCATTATGAATCGCACAATATCCTTATGACAGAATTTAACATATGTCCAGTGTGTAAAAAGAGATTTGGTAATCAGAGGTTAGTATTTATATATTATATGGAGTAATATTTGGTTATAAAAACAAATTGCGATATAAATTATCTTTCAGTGCATTTGCAAGGTATCCCAATGGTGATATTGTACATTATTCATGTCAAGACCGTAAAGTATAAGCTATATGTAGTTTAAATGTATTTATACTAATTATTAAGCTATGTAAATTGTACATTGTGATGTACTTCTATTCATATTATGTGTATAAATTAACTCAATGTCATATAAAATGTCATATAAAATGATCACACAATATCATTGCCTTTACAAAAAAATTTAAACAAAAATTCATTTAGTTACATTACTTTATGTATGTTGTACATGTGTACATATAAAGATTTATATTTGTTATTTTTAAAATAGATTACAATTAAAGAAATTTTATCCTTTAATTTACTTTTAATTATTTGAAACACATAAAATAAAAATATTTTAATAGGTAATGTTAAATATTAGGAAAACAATAAATCGCAATGAAAAATCGAACGCAATTATCTTGTATATACTCTTTTATTTAGGACTATTTTTTGTATTTAATTATTTTCAAATATTCAAAACAAATTCTCTTTTGCAATTAAATGATTGTCTTCAAAAACATTATAATAATATGTCATGGAGAGGATGGGGCGTGCCCAGTCCAAAATATGGGTAAACGGGACTAGTGATGTCATAAGCTATCTTGTATTCCTACGCCAGCTACTACAGGGCAGGTACGGTACCGATACAAGTGCAGTCGTAAATGTATACGCTTTAATTATTTTAATTCGTGTGATAAAAGGAAGAATCAGTTACTTTTATCATAGATTATAGGCATTTTTACATAAAAATTATACTATTAATTAGAAAGTTATTATTTATATATTAATATAAAATACAAATATAAAATTAAATAGCTACTGCTCTGTTTTATTAAAACTTAATAAAATTGTTGACATGTTTTGTATTAGTAATACATGATCCAGTGATGAACTTTTATAGATTTTCTAAAATTTGTAGTGCATTTCTCTAAAATAACAATTATTTACAGATTAATTATTTATTTATTGTGAAGTATATTTTATTCAGAGCCAGTATATTAGAAAACTATTATCACTGATAATATGCTATGCAATACTGTATATCGATAAAAAGAACAATTATTAGTGATTTTGTACGTAATAAGCAATATATATTACAAAATGTACATTTTATGTATGTTTGCAAATGGTATACAATATTTATTTTATAGTCTTCCGAATGGACAAGTGAAAGAATGTCTTTTTAATTACAGTTAGAAACATTATTCTATTGGAATTGTACATCGGTTTGCTGCAGATATTCATAACATTACGCGTGTTTTTTATTGGTGGATCAGAACTGGGACTAGCTACGCTGGCGTAGGTCGACGCCGTATGCGCTCAGTCAGTTGCGCGCCGGTCGAGTGTGTGGATGGGTTTGTGTGGATCGTTATCGGTGGTTTTTGGTGTACATCGGCTGGTTTTTATGCGAGTACTGGGATAAAACGGTGTCGCAGGGTATCCTCACGAGAAGGTAAGTGTACGATTTTCTTCAGTTTCAGTTCAAAAACGTAAAAGCGATCAAGTTTTACGATCGGCTGTCTCGTGACGGCTGAGACTTCACAGATAAAAATGGCGTGTGCCGCCTTAGCTTCCCCGATTTCTCCCTACTTTTGAATCGTTACACAGTATTTCGTTACATGTATTTTTGACAGCGCTCAAATAGCATTCATATTTCAATAATACGGAAGATCGTTTGTCATTTATCATAATCATTTTCCTCCTTATATCTCTATAGTAGAGTGCGGCATTGATTCTAGTATCGAACCTGTGCCCACTGTGCGATTAAATAAGCTAGTTTTCTCGTTTTGTCTCGTTAATACGAGTGTTCATGACCTTTTTTTTTTTTTTTCTTTTTTTTTGTATGTGTTTTATTATTGCCATAGCACGATCACCGTGACCGTTATTCCTTTTGAAATAAGCTCTCGTGCTTTCGGGTTACGTGTTCATTTATAGCGCTTTAATTTCCGCTACATGGTGTTCCCTGAATGGTTTTGTTCACCTGTCAAGACGCCCTATCTGTCGGTGACCTAATTTTGCTCCCTACTGAAAATCTGTCCAGCATTGTACCATCGTTGTTCGCTGGAATATCAAAATACCATTGTCATATGTAAAATACGACTTTCTTTTCATCTTATCGTTGACCTAAAAAAAATGCTTACCGTGTTTTACAAATATGCGACATGACACAACATGAAGAAGGTTTTTAAGGGTACATGTTTTAAATGAAAGTGTATATTATCAGTGAGTTCTTTGTAGTTCTCATTTCTAGAATTTCATTTTGCTTCACACTGAAAAACAATTTCTTGGAAAAATTAAACGAAAGATAATCTAATCTATTAGGAATAGTAGGTACACGATACAGTTTTATCTTGATAATCCTATAAAATGGATATATAATTACGATTTTCTGGACTCCGTGTTAAAGTGCTTTTTGAATATATACATTTTCGTGAAATGTCATTCGAGCAAAAAATGTATATTTTTACATATCTGAAAATATCCATAATCGCGTATAGACACCGGATGAATAATTTTTATTTATATTTATCCAATATTTTGTATATTAATAAAAATGACCTAATCATGTAACATAGTTCTTTAATTGATGACGCTGTTATAAATTGCCAGTTCGTTCGGTGCAAATGATTTCATCATGACACCAAATTCGGTGCTGAGTCATTGTCAAAAATCTTTGAATTGCTCGTAAAACATCATAAATTTTTATGTATACACGATATTAGAACAAGAAATTATTACATCCATGCAAACCAGAAATTCGTAAAGATAAAATCATATCTACGTATATTTGTTTTTAAATTTATGACATTTGTGTCATCTCGATTACGATAATCATATATCTCGATTTCAACAAGTTCAGTTTCCGGTTTAAATTTATACAGTTGCATGTAACGCTATTGCCTCCGAGAAAAACATAACATTTTTAATAAATCTTTTTCTTAATGGAGTAATTTTCTCCAGTCCTCTTTCAGTGTTGTGTTTACAGTTACGTCATCGTTGCCGGGCTTGGGCGTGTGCGCGTCTTCGGCATAAATTAATAAATTAGTGTCGTGCCGATCGCTTCTTCCGGATTGTGTTTTCGGCGACATCTGTCTGCCTCATTCAAACCGGAACAATATTCGCGCTTCAAAATACCATACATTACGTAAAATATATATATCACGCGACGGAAGTGTATCTGTTTTATGACAAATAAATTCTTACAATTATACTACAAGTATGTAAAGTGAAAAGAATGTGTATCATATTTATAATAGGTTATATGTACCGTCCATGGTTTTCTAAAATTACTGCAGAGGTCAGTGTAGTGACTAAATATATTGAAAGCTTGACGTGTCACGTATATTTCGTGCCAGTGAAGATATACTATTAGATGTATAACGTTCTTTCGTTTCCGGTATTCGCTACGATTTCCACGGTTGCTTGGCAACTTGATCCCATAATTATCCGAGGCAGTGCAGACAACATTCGTTGCGGGACGTCCCCAGAATATTTTTACTTTGTGTCCAAGCTAAGAAATCGTCGGATATACGTCACAAAGAGATTTAACGTTTCATATTCGCTGTTCGGTCATATTTTGACACGTGACCACGGTAGACGATCTTTACTTTTGACCAAATATCATAAACATAGGAATCCATTGTACTCGTTGATGCTTGCTCAGCCTGAATCTAAGGGATTTGTTTTGAATGTGAAAAACAGTTTAGTAGGTTATATTGTGATATTTAATCGTGGTGTCCATCCACGAAATAGCCATGATTTTCAACGGTCATTGCTTTTAACGGTAAATGCTTTTGCATTTGTTTTCGAAGAAATTGTATGCAAATCATGTACGTGTATGATGTCACTAATTAATATATACCGTGAACGTGGTTATGAACTTTGGAAGATGAGAGTTGTACGTTATTTATTAAGGATAATTCAAGTTTTGTTTTATGCCGAATAAATTTATATTATTTATTTATTTGTTCAAATATAAGCGTCGAATGTAAATTTCACGCAAATGATGTAAATTTAGTATTGTTACTTTGGGAAATTGCATTCGTTTGCGTTTTTAAGTATCATTAATCGGTATTGCCCATTGAGTTTTTGTTATTATTCGTTGACGATTCAAATATAAATGTATTTTCAGTCATGCATATAAACACATTTTTAAAGGTTATATATAAATATTATTTATTCGTTATACTGTCGTGTTCCTGGAGGATAGATTATATTACTCTCATCTAAAAATATCCATGGGACGTTTTTAACTTTTCTGCCCTGATTAGCGTATCCATACTTTTATTATGCGCCACGATATTGCGGTATAATATTTAATAAATGCGGGAACACGTACTAGGGACATTGAACCGCCGCTCGTCAATTTTCCAACTTCCCTGCAGTATGTGCAGCTTTTTATACATTAATTATTTAATTTTTTCACTGTTACGTCCTGCGATCGTTTTGCTATGACCCAATCTTTATTTTCTCACCGAAGAAATCCACTCTACGAGAAATTGGACATAATTCACGAACGGAATATTTAAAATTCCCTAGATTCCTAGATCGCTTATTGGCGCAATAATTCTGCAGAGCCACCGAGTGTGTAATTATGTATATCATGTTATCTATGGGTCACTAAGAAATCATTTAGCGCAAAAGGTGGGAAACAAAATTAAATATTTTATCAAATATATATATAATAATAAAATAAATATATCTATATATATTCACATATATTTCTTTAAACATATATAGAAATATATACATTAGGAATATACATAGATATATATTTTTTCCTTCGTAATTTTTTCTTTCATACATTATTTATCGTGCTTAACGTTACAGAACGTTTAACGATCTTCGGATACTATTTGTCAGGTTGCTCCTAATGAATTACACGGTTCGCTTCTTCAAATGTTTTTCATAGAAAGCTCGTAAAACACTAATGTGCACGAAATTTACTGATTCGGTAACATCAATCGGATGAAGATAACGTTCTTCGTATTTTTCTTTTATGCCATATGAATCTATTTTTATGCTTACATTTTAGTGATTTCGATATGTTTCTATTTTAATAATCCTATTACTTTTTGACTAAATATAGTATTCGAACGTTAACTGCTAATATTAGTAATATTAGAAAAATTATTTTAAAAAATAAAGAAAAAAAGAATTATACATGATTTTTTTGTTACGCATGATATGGGTTCGTAGTATCATTAAATGGCACAGAATCTCCAGTCAAACGACTTATATTACGTTACTTACGTTAAGTCGCGTTATTTTCTTTTTCTTATTTTCCTCGTATTTTTCATTTTATGCTTTTTTATTCAACAATATCTCCGTGCCGGGCTTACGATATCGTGAGAAACGAAAATTAACTTAATTATTTGTGTAATGGTGCATGTCCTAATATCCGAGACTCTCTGTTGCTTTTGCTTTTCCTTCTCGCCAAGAAAACTAGTTCTCGAGATGCGTCTCGTACTAGTCACTTTGAAGTTTATATCGCGCGATCGGTTAATTAACCGACGTTAAATTTGTTAATTGAAACGCATGTAAAACGACGGGAACATTCTTGTAACATCGCTTTCCGGTTTGATGAAAGTTAAAAATATTCCGACTCCTTTTGCAATTGTAAACGCGATTATCGGGCGATCATCGAATACGTGACGCGTGTTTTCTTTCTTTGTTGCTTTTCTTTGGTCCTTTTTCCAATTCGTCGCATTGTCATGGCGATGAATCACGCTTAGCGTATTTATAAACGAGAAAACTTTTCATTTTGCAGGAACAGAATTAACCGAAGGCAAAATTGGTCTGTTACGAAAGTTGTTTTTCGATTTGGTTATTTCAATGTCGGTCGATTATTCCGATAAAACGTGTTCCGATGTATTTCAAACGATTCGGCGTTTTAGTATTTTATGGTTCACTGAACGACTCGCGAATCTTTAATAATTCGGAGAATAATTGAGAATAATTGCGATCGATTAAAAGTAACGTTTTATGGGGTAACCATATCCTCGGAATTTATTGCAGGTTAGGTATGATCCTTGATTTCATGATTTTTAGTTCCAAGTCGAAGAATAGAATCACTGTAATCCCACTGATCGTGAGCGTTAACCTCTGAAGCGCTCGAACGTGTTCGTAATTTCGTTTTAAAAGACACACCCAGTATGTATGGAACTTGTTCGAGTTGTTTAAAAATGAAGAGGGAGATAAACAGTCATATTAACTCAATGTAACCTATCCTCTGTTATTTTCTACTCGGTCAATCTTTATTACACTTATAGTTCGTGCCTAAATATTTCTAGGTTATGTAATATCCGTGTACAGCATTTTGTGCTTCCCTAGTCCTAGACTAGATCTATCTCGAGATGTTTCATTTTGCAATTAAAAAGGTAATTCTGGGTCGTGCAATATGCACGTTTAAAACTTCTAACTTACTCAGCCCCATGACCCACTCCAGTTGAT